CATGACATTTTGTGCTTCAAACTCCATCATGCACCATTTCATGTTGCATGCTCAGCTCTGCCCTCTTCCACCTTCTTGCTGCCACCCGCTGTTCCCCAGGCTCTGTTGGCAAAGCTTTACACCTCACTTTGCCTAGTGAAGCAATGTGAGCCCTACCTTATATTGAAAATGGCAACACTGAGTCCAAAATCCCACTTATTTCCATTACTTCTAGCACAAGACCTATGGATTCTATAAATCATATTGCATTGCATTGCATTAGATAAATCTTTATGGAACTGTACATATGGATGCAAAAGTGGGCGGAAGGAGTTGGGAGAAATCTTGATGCTCTGCTTGTAGAAAGTGGTTGTGCAGGAGAATGCTATCCCATGGTGTAGTGTAATAGAACTTTATCTCCATTTTGTTTCATAAGTTTCAAGAGGCAAATTGCCCAGCAGAAAGGGAAGGTAAGTTTGAACTTTAAGCCGTTATATTGGCTTTGGTGTTGAAGCACACCCGAAGTTGAATGTCTCATTCCAATTCTGATAAGACTGAATCCTTGTCCTGGTCCTTGTAGTCTAGTGTAGCCTATTCTGGTTGGCAGCCATTGCCCAAAATCTCAGACAGAGGTCTTACCCAACTCTGCTACTCAAGATCTGTTTTTTTGGTGGTGTGATGGACTGAACCTAGGGACCTTTTCCAATTGTGTCACAGTTTATATTTAGCAATAGCAAACTTCACTAACTAGCAGCTATCCTAGGTTTTTTGACATTAAAGGAAATACTGTCTAAAAGCACACTTTCCTAAAAATAGACATTAGAAAAAGGACCATATGAGCACATGAATTATCTACAAGGAAGTGGATTGGCAAATGCATGATGTGGAATTACTGAACACTTGCCTGCAGCTCACTCACGTTTTTCCTGGCAGTGGAATTTGGGGAAAATATCAGCACTAGATTCTTAATGAAAGCTAGGAGGTCGAATTTACTTCTGCTGCCACCCCCCACCCCTATATATCTTGTTCTTGGCATCCATTTACAATACACATTCAATGCTATTTTTAATTCAGTATTTACAACCCAGAATACCAAATACTGTGGGTTGAAAACTACTGCAGATGGTAAATGGCCAGTTTGTAATGCTGCCCACTGTGTATGTCTGTACCATCTGTGTTGGTGTTTGTTCCAAAAGGGCTCTGCAGAATGATGCAAATAATCCCAGTGAAGAGAAAAAGTATTGCAACAGATTAGACAGACACTTAATGATGACATCAACACCTACATTGACAATAGTTTGGCCATGTTTAATGTAAGCCCACTGCCAAACAGGTTCTACGAAATGGCACAGTGTTCAATGAATTTCAAAAACAAAGATGTAAAAGCACTTTACATATGGGTCCAGCATATAAGGCACATTAGTAAACTTAATCCCAAATGTTTTTCTCTAGGAAGAATTATTCAGGAGAAACCTATAGCTAAATCTTTATAGAGATGGGAAAGATCTGTCTTAAAAATGAGAATGGAAAAATATGGCCTAAACAACAGAATGACAAATTAAAAGGAAAAAACATGGCAAGAATCAGTAATCTGGATAAATCCTACTTTTTAATTAACATGTCATTCCACCATGAAACTGATACATTTCGGTAAGTGCATATAATATTGTTGTAGTATTGAGAGTGAGTGCAGTATCTAGTCTAATGAAAAAAAGGAAGTTTGGCTATCAAACTGAGCCAAAACTGTGGATGCCAGATGCCAGTATTTATTTAACCATTCATTTAATTAAAATGGTTGTCTGCATTATCCTGGCAAGAGGAGAGAATTTTAGTATTCCCCTGATCTGATAAAGGAATGCAGGTAAGAAAAGTTATCGTGTTAACTCATGAAAGGATTATACACAGCAGTGGTTAAGGCTGTAATCCTATGGGTTCTTACCTGGAGTAACTCCAACTGCATTCAATGGGGCTTACTTCTGAGGAAGCATGTGTGGGACAATGTTAATGCACTGGGTAAATGACTATGAATTCACCTTTACTCCCTGAACTTCATGGAGGAAAAACATTACTTTTACTGAGATACATAGGAATACCAATAACTACAAAATGGACACAGCAAGATTGTGTACTATCTTCTCCTTGCAGTACAGCTGCCTGTAAAGCTTATTGTAGTTTGACAAAGTAGTTAAAATGATGGAATTCAGCACCACAGGTATGGCAACGGGCATCAAATTGGATGAGTTTTAAAGGATTAAATGAGTTAAAGGAGAATAAGGCTATCAGTGGTTACCAGCCATTATATCTGTTTTCTCCTGAATCAGAGGCAGCATGTAGAGCAGGGACAGCCCAGCTGGAGGACCAGGTGGCCCGAGAAACTGGGCTTTCTGCTTTTCTCCACAACTTCGGATACAGGGCTAAGTTCTGAAACATCAATACATACTGAACACCTTGGATTTTGCATTTACATCTAATTTACAATGATACAAGCCATGCCACCATTTGAGAGTTATTCATTGTAAAGCATTCAGTTGTGCTTAAGCAAATGTAGGAGACTACCTGGAGGTTCCAAGGTGGAATGCCTCATGCATGGAAACAGGACAACTTTGAACATTAGCTGCTTTGCTTCACACTGTAACTGAAGGCAGAAATTAGTTGCATACAATAATTTTGTTGAAGTTTTGGTTGATTTGCCTTTCTCTGTACTGTGCGGCTTTGTTCACTTGCTCCAGGCTTCTGAGAGCATCCACTTTCACACAGAAGCAGGTTAGCTGCAATTTTCATACTAATCTTCTTGATGGGGGAGGTGAGTGGGAAACAAACTTACCTTTGTGTATTTGGGTGCACAATGATTTTCTGGTCCTTGTCAGAACTATACGGATTTTCAGGAGCACTCTATTTGCATACCATCTCCCTGTTTCATCCAATGCACATGCTAAAAGAATCTCTGCATTGTGCCCTTTAAGCAGTACCAAAAATGCATCTCAAGTCATTCTGTGCTATACTCTATGTCAGCCTTTTCCAATGTGGGAGTCTTGAGATGTGCAGAACCATAAATTGCAAGTGTCCCAAACCAGGTACCCATGTGCTCTCTTTCCTAGCTCAATATTTCCAACAGGCCACCAAACTGCAGGTAACGTGACTGCTGGGAAAGAGACCATGCAAAGGAAACTGTTTCCACCCATCCTTTTCCCCAGATAATCTTGCCACCTCAGCAAAGGAAGGGGAATTGGGGAGCACCTGTAGTGGGCCTTATACAGGTGTCACCACAGGTTGCCATCCCTTGGTCTAGAGCACACTTTCTAAATTCAATTATCTCCATGTTTTGGACCACAACTCCCAGAAATCCTGACCATCTGAATGGTGCTGAAAGAGGCTGGAAGTCTAAAACACTTGAAGGGCATACTGGCCTTGAGTAATAGATTAACTATTAACCTCAATTTTATTTTCTTATTCATTAAATTATAAGATCCCAAATAATGGCCTTGGTTCAAAGAGGCTCTTCCAGGAACTAAAAGCCACTCTTCACTTTAATGGCTAGCTAAAGGGGAGACACATCTGGTTTTTATTGCTGTTTTGCTGCAACCCCTATGATTTCAAAGAGCAGAATCCAATGGGGCACTTAAACTCCTGCCAATTCCTTTCTGCAAGTAATAGGTCCAACTGTAGTGCAAATGAAGGAGCCACTGTCTACACATGGAAGAATTGGTGCTTTCTAAAGGAAGCCCTAAAGGAAACACTCATTTCTGGAAGAAGGCAGGACAGCAGAGCTCCCTTATGTGAGCTCCCTACTGACCTGCCTTCTTCTAGAAACAAGCATTTCTTCTTGTTTCAGGTTGCCCTAGCAGCACTATCTAGCTGTTGTGCTAACAGTGAGAGACACTTGCACAATGAAATTGGCAGGATGGAAGAAAATCAGTTAAGGGTGTAAGCACCCCATTGGAGTCTACCCAAAGGGGGCTCTAAAGCAAATTCCAGGGTGCAGGTGGTAAGGGAATCAGACAAATACAGATCTTTCTGTGAATTGCAGAAGCTCTGGATCCAAATGCAGTATTTGAATGCTTTCCTTTTATGGCTAAGGAATGAGTGTCCCATGCCCTCAAAAGAATAAGACTGTTTGCAATCCAAATAGGAATTTCTGCTCAAAATATCCTGTTCTTTGTTCTAAAGGGCACTGACAAGTTAAGAACTGCCTTCTATGACTTTTTCCCATCATTGTTGCTTCATCGGTAAAAAAGCACTTCAAAAGCTGCCCATTTTTAAAAGAGACTAGCTAATGCAATGAGGCATCATCTCTACTTCTTTGTCCAGAGATACTAATACTTTGATTAGTGCTTTGATCTCCCAAACAGGATTATGATCTGAAGGCAGAAATTTGCAATGGAAATTTTAAAGCAATAAATGTGTTTCAAGATGCTAAGTGGAGTATCTTTTTGTAGGTTACCAAGTGCTTGTTGTCATTGCAAAAACCATCAGTGCTGCAAGTATTTGGCACCCTTTGCCATCAGAAACATCTTGTTAAGATACTGACTGGAATGCCAGCCTGTGCCCTTCAAGCAGCAGCAGAAAGATCAACACTGAGGCTGACGTAGTTCAGCCTTGAGTCACTGCTGATTATTTCATTCCCACCTTTAAAGAAATACATCTCTGAGGGAAGAAGGGTGCAGTGTGTGTGAAGAAGGAGATAATTGCATAGAGGCATATAAGGCTGAAGGCAATCTGTCTCCTGTCTTTCTCAAGCATACATATCAGTAAGGATAGGGGAAGGCAGAATTCGTTTTAAAATCAATTTTCATCTACACTACAAACCCACCCACCCCTTTCTCTTTTAAGCACTATATTTATTCTAGATCAGAAAGGGAAGAAAGGTACACATGACTTGCAAAAGCTAAAGGTGGCATGACCCAAGAATCATAGTAAGATTGCTTAAAATGGCACAAAATTATGTAATTGTCTTTTCTTGATAAGTTTGTTTCCTACATATGAATAGTTACCTCTCATGAGCTCACACCACTGCAGAAGCATTATTTTCTTGTATTTATTTATTACATTTCTGTACCACCCAACAGCTGAAGCTTTCTGGACTGTTCACAACTAAAACCATAAAATACAGGATAAAAATTAGAAAGTTTAAAACTACACTATAAACAGAATCCCATCACATGCAGAGGTGTAAAATACAATCCAGATTTAAAACAAACTGCAATACCTGCAAAAATACAAAGGTATTTATTTAGTACTGAGAAGAGCAGTTGGTACAAGGTGAGCATCTCAGGAAGGTCACTCCACAACCAGGGTGCCCCAGCAGAAAAGACACTCTTAGTTGCCACCCACCTCACTTCCTTTCGAGGGGTCTCCCAAAGAAAGACCACTGGAAGCTCATATCAGGGTCTAAGCTGACGTGTATAGGAGATAATGTTTTAGGTAATCTGGCACCAAACCATTTTGGTCATTGAATGCTAATACCAGCACTTTGATTTGGGCCCAGATGGAAATGTTCTAGTCAGCCCATGTTAGCAACCTCCCTGTCCCATTTCTGAACCCCCTGGAGTTTCTATAAAGTTTTCAGATTAGGAAAACATTTGGATTTGGGGTGAGAGAGAAATGCTGCAATGGACTTGATGGAAGACAAGATGACCCACAAGCTTCTTAGGCTACGAGTCAGGAAACCTAACACAGCTGACAAGCCAAGATCAAGATACCTTATTTGCCTGTCAGCTTAGAACTGCAAATATTTGGCTGAAACAGGGTAGCTGGTAAGATGTGTTCTTCTTGGAGAGCCATATATTACGCAGGCCTGATCTATCTACTGCAACTGAGGAATGCACAGGACAGGAGCAAACTTGGCAAGAGAAAGACATTTCCTGTCTCAAAATACCAAAAATCTAATGATGTCAATATTTTTCAGGATACTTTTAAGTTACTTGCTTCTGTTACCACTGAATATTACTGAAGTTCAATTATTTCTCTAGAAGGACCAAAGGTTAATCCCTACTCAAACACAGCAACCATTCAGTTCAATGCTCATCATCTGCTTCATTAATAAAGTATTCACGGAGTATTCTTTGTGGACTGTCCAAATGCAATCAGATTTCTTCATAAACAGTCTTACTAGTGTGAAATTTACTGGGCAATGATAGACAGACAGGCAAGTACATTTTTTAATAAAGATATAATTACAAAAAGGGGTAAAATCAGCTCAGGGAAGGTGAATTTTAATAGATCAGTTTAGACATTCAACATAATAACTCACAACCATTTTAAATACTATCGTTTTAGAGCCTGGTGGAACAAATTTTTAAATCATAATTAGGAAATTCACAATACAACTTGCCAAAAACTGAAACACAGTTGTTTCTAAAATAAATACGTTCCATGCCAAATTGTACAAAATGAAAATCAAGTCTCTTCCCATATGAAAAGCTCCTTTTAGCATTTTTTCTCAATTTAGTATTGTGTCCTTTACTTGATGTGAGGCTTTAATTTCAAGGATTGCTGAGCTGTTCTGACTTTGCGCTGTTCAGAGGGGGGAAAGCCAATCATTAGCATGAGTCACAATTCAATCTTGTTCTTTTCTCATTCAAGATGATAGGTGTTGCACGTTTATATCACTGTTTTTAAAAATAGCTATTGATACACATCTATTGTCATCCATAATGGAGAGTAGGTGCACAACGAACATTTCCAAGTAGATTAACATTGTCAAGCAGAGATACATGATAGGAGAGCCAGAATTTACTTACCCTTTGGTATCTGCCTTTTCACCACTGCTATCCTTGGATTTGTCTTCCTCTTTAATATCTAGAAGTAATGGTGGCAGTTTTACATAAACTAGGGAACTTGTGACTCTCCAGATGTTGAACTCCAGCTTCCATCATTCATGACTACTGGTCTTGCTTGACTGGCACTGATGGGAGTTTAAGTCCAAAATCATCAGTGCAGGGGGGCACAGGTTCACCAGCCAACATAAACAGTGCAATCCTACACGTGACTACACAGAATAAAGCCACTCTGAGTTTAATGGAACCAATTTGCCAGTAAGTGTGAATTAGGACTGCAGCTTATTTTTTTTCTCAAATGACAATGTTGACTTAAATGTTAACAAATTACAATGATAGTGCATGTTACACCTCTGTGAGGTTTATACCTTGTGATTCTTTCAAATAAAGAATGAGAATTACACAGATTAAAGGAATATTCTAGAAGAGATGAAAATATATGCTAACAACCTAACCTAGGAATATACAACTTGTGACTGCAACAAAAGGAAACCAACATGGATTACATAGTCTGAGAGGTACTTAACATCCTAGCTATTTCTGCAAATGTAGGAAGAGAGTTGTGTGCCAACATGTGACTTATGTCACAGGTTGTGTATGGCTTTCAACCATATTTAGTCAGAAGCAAAGCCGAATTATTTCAGATACTTGTAACATATTGTCACATGGAAGTTTTAGGATTGTAGTCTAAAAGGTAACAGGGAAAAAAATTCAGTTTAGTCATTGACCTCTTACCTGCTTTTTTGTCTTCTGTCTCTTTTTTGTCTTCTTCTAATCGGGCTTTCTTTGCTCCTTTCTTATGATCTGCAACATTTCTGCGTCCACCTTCTCCTTCATCTTCAGAGTCAGAAAATTCTTCATCACAAGCAATCCGCTTATCAGATGCACGAACTAGAATTAAAATGGTAAGGTGAGAACAGAGGTTTTTTCCCCAGGATCTCCTTTCTGTGCATTAAAATTCTTTTACCACTGGGAATCTACACAAGATACATGAGTGTCCTGTCATAAGTTCTCCAACCATGCAGCTCTAAAGAAAACCTATTGTGATTGCTGCGTCCATAAGACCCTCTACTTGACAGCAGTGCCAAGGACAGGGTCCGCAGCTTGGACTGCTGTGGCGAGGAGCACTTTCCTTCAGCTTCGGCTGATCCATCAGCTGCATCCCTACCTGGAGAACGATTGTCTGGCAACAGTGACACATGCACTGGTTACTTCCTGACTGGACTTCTGCAACACACTCTATGTGGGGCTGCCCCTGAAGACAGTCCGGATACTTCAGATGGTGCAAAACAGAGCTGCAAGGTTGCTGACGGGGACTGGGCGTTGTTCTCATATAACCCCAGTCCTCTATCAGCTTCACTGGCTCTCCATCGAAGTCCAGGCCCAATTCAAGGTGCTGGTTGTCACCTATAAAGCCCTTAATAGCTTGGGACATGGAAATCTAAAAGAACGCCTGCATCCACATTTGCCCTCCCGCCCCTTGAGATCGGCGGCAGAGGCCCTTCTCCGGGAACCCTCTGTGAAAGATATTAGGAGGGCGAGTACCCGGAGGAGGGCTTTCTCTGCGGTGGCACCCCACTTATGGAATGCGCTCTCCAGAGAGGTCTGCCTGGCACTGTCATTATTTGTTTTTCGGCACCAGGGCAAGACCTTTTTATTTAAACATTATTTTAATAAATGCTGATTTTATTTATTGGTTTTAAATTATTAAGCCAGGATGTCTCCAGATCTTATATATATGTATTTGTAAAGGTATTTATTTATATGTTGGAAGCTGTCCCAAGGTTTATGCGAATGGGATGGCATACAAAAATTCCAAACAAACAAACAAATGTCTTCAGTAAGATATTCTGTGATTTGGTAAGTGGTAAATGAGGCTACAGTTTTCAACATCAACATCCTTTCTGTAATGCACTTTTATAATTCACCAAGAAAAATAGCAGAAATAGCATTCAGTTACCAGTTTGGACTTGAAATGGAAGAAGCATCTCTAGAATGAATCAGGTCTGCTGATATTGACATTAATATACAAAGCCCTAAACAGCTTGGGGCTGGGATATCTGGTGGAATGCCTATCTCCACATATCCCTACCAGACCACTGAGATCATCATTGGAAGTCCTTCTCCCAGAGCCATCCTCAGTGAAACGAGAGGCAAAATGGCAATGAGAAGAGCCTTCTCCATGACTGCACCCCACTTGTGCAATGCCCTCCTCTAAGGAAGCTCAGGTGGTAGCATCAATGCTTGCCTTTCAGTGCCACATAAAGGCTTTTTTAGTAGCAAGTTTGGTTTTTATTCTGTTAATTTATCGCTACTTGTTTATTATGTTCAATGTTGTGAATATCAGATGTTATATTTCTACTTTATTGTTTTATTGTTCCTATTTTTGTCTGTTCCTGTTTTTATTGTAAGCTGCCCAGAGATCCCTTTGGGCTATAGGGCAGCCTATCAATATAATAAAATAATTCACAGCCAAAGAGGTTGCAAGGGCCAAAATAGCAGTTGCCATTTGCCATCAATAGAATTCTAAAGCCAACAAGTATATTCTAATTGCTCATACACTTCCTGTAATTTTACTAAACTGGGTCAACATGCATTAGTCTATATTCCAAGAGAGGAACAGTCAGGAGGCCAACTACTGCAGTGATTAAAAAACGATGGAACAGAATGCCGCCAATAATACAAATAGTGCACAAAATGACCAACCAGAAATAAATGAACCCTAATATTTTGTTCTCCTTCATGGATCAATGCCTTGTCGTGGCGAAGGGGCCTGCATAGCTCAATGAAGCTATGAGCTATGCTGTGCAGGGTCACCCAAGACGGACAGGCCATAGCAGAGAACTCTGACAAAACGTGATCCACTGGAGAAGGAAATGGTAACCCACTCCAGTATCTTTGCCATGAAAACCCCATGGACAGTACCAAAAGGCAAAAAGATACGACGCCGGAAGATGAGCCCCTCAGGTTGGAAGGTGTCCAATAACAGCAGAGGGCTAGTACTGGTAGCGCCAGAAAGAATGAAGCGACTGGGTCAAAGCCGAAAGGACACTCAGTTGCAGATGTATCTGGTGGTGAAAGGAGAGTCCGATGCTGCAAAGATCTATACTCCATAGGAACCTGGAATGTAAGATCCATGAATCAAGGCAAGCTGGATGTGGTCAAACGAGATGACAAGACTGAACATCGACATCTTAGGAATCAGTGAACTAAAATGGACAGGAATGGGTGAATTTAATTCAGATGACCATCAGGTATACTACTGTGGGCAAGAATCCCTCAGAAGAAATGGAGTAGTCTTCATAGTCAATAAAAGAGTAGGAAAAGCAGTACTGGGATACAATCTCCAAAATGACAGAATGATCTCAGTTCGAATCCAAGGCAAACCATTCAACATCACAATAGTCCAAGCCTATGCCCCAACCACTGGTGCTGAAAAGGCTGAAGTTGACCAGTTCTATGAAGGTCTACAAAACCTTCTAGAATTAACACCCAAAAATGATGTCCTGATCATCATGGGGGATTGAAATGCTAAAGTAGGAAGCCAAAAGATAACCGGAATAACAGGCAAGTTTTGGAGTACAAAATGAAGCAGGGCACAGGCTGGTAGAATTTTGTCAAGAGAATACAATGGTCATAGCAAACACTCTTTTCCAACAACCCAAGAGACGACTCTACACATGGACATCACCAGATGGTCTACACAGAAATCAGATTGACTAAGTGTTCTGCAGCCAAAGATGGAGAAGCTCTATACAGTCAGTAAAAACTAGACCAGGAGCTGACTGTGGCTCAGATCAGGAGCTTCTGGTTGCAAAATTAGGCTTAAGTTGAAGAAAGCAGGGAAAAGCACTAGGCAACTCAGGTATGACCTAAATCATATCCCTGATGAATATCCAGTAGAGGTGACAAATAGATTTAAGGAATTAGATCTGATAGACAGAGTGCCTGAAGAACTATGGACGGAGGTTCACAACACTGTACAAGAGGCAGCAACTAAAGCCATCCCAAAGAAAAAGAAGTGCAAGAAAGCAAAATGGCTGTCTGAGGAAGCTTTACAAATAGCTGAGGAAAGAAGGGAAGCGAAAGGCAAGGGAGAAAGAGAAAGATACACCCAATTGAATGCAGAATTCCAGAGCATAGCTAGAAGAGATAAGAATGCCTTCTTAAATGAACAGTGCAAAGAAATAGAAGAAAACAATAGAATAGGGAGGACCAGAGATCTCTTCAAGAAAATTGGAGATATGAAGGGAACATTTCATGCAAAGATGGGCATGATAAAGGACCAAAATGGCAGGGACCTAACAGAGGCAGAAGAGATTAAGAAGAGGTTGCAAGATTACACAGAAGAAGTATACAAGAAAGAGCTTAACGTCTCTGATAACCACGATGGGGTGGTCACTGACCTCAAGCCGGACATCCTGGAATGTGAAGTCAAATGGGCCTTAGGAAGACTGAGTAGCAACAAAGCTAGTGGAGGTGACAGTATTCCAGCTGAGCTATTCAAAATCCTAAAAGACGATGCAGTAAAAGTGCCACATTCAATATGCTGGAAGAAATATCAACAACCTCAGATATGCAGATGATACCCCTCTCATGGCAGAAAGTGAAGAGGAACTAAAGAGCCTCTTGATGTGGGTGAAGGAGGAAAGCGCAAAAGTTGGCATGAAACTCAACATTAAGAAAACTAAGATCATGGCATCCAGTCCTCTCACTTCCTGGCAAATAGATGGGGAAGAAATGGAGGTAGTGACAGATTTTATTTTCCTGGGCTCCAAGATCACCACAGACAGGGACTTCAGCCAAGAAATTAAAAGACGCTTGCTCTTGGGGAGGAAAGCTATGGCAAATCTAGACAGCATACTAAAAAGCAGAGACATCACCCTGCCAACAGAAGTGCGTATAGTCAAGGTTATGGTTTTCCCAGTTGCAATGTATGGCTGTGAAAGCTGGACCATAAGGAAGGCTGAGCGCAAAAGGATTGAGGCCTTTGAATTGTGGTGCTGGAGGAGACTCCTGCGAGTCCCTTGGACTGCAAGGTAATCAAACTGGTCAGTCCTTGAGGAGATCAACCCTGACTGCTCTTTAGAAGGCCAGATACTGAAGATGAAACTCAAATACTTTGGCCACCTAATGAGAAGGAAGGACTCCCTGGAGAAGAGTCTAATGCTGGGAACAATAGATGGCAAAAGAAGAAGGGGATGGCAGAGGATGAGGTGGCTGGATGGAGTCACTGAAGCAGTAGGCGTGAGCTTAAGTGGACTCAGGGAGATGGTGGAGGACAGGAAGGCCTAGAGGAATGTTGTCCATGGGGTCGCGATGGGTCGGACACGACTTCGTGACTAACAACAACAACAAGAAGTATTTTGTTAGGATCAAAAAAGTTCAGTGACAATTATATAGGAAAGGAAAGCAGCTAGTAAATAACCACAACTAGTAACAATTTTAATAAATAAACTGTATCCAAGTAAGAGATCAGGGCTGGGACTCAGGAGACCTGGGTTCTAGTCCCCACTCAGCCATGGAGCCAACTGGGTGACTTTGGGCCAGTCACAGACTCTCAGCCCAACCTAACTTACAAGGTTCTTGTTGTGGGGATAGGACTGAAAGCAGGAGGAGGAGACTGATGTAAGCCAGTTTGAGTTCATAAGAAAAAAGCAGGATATAAATCTAATAAACCACCATAATCATCCTGAATTCATAAAGCATGTAATTTCAGGGACATTTTTACCACATTGCTTAGATTATACATTTTGTCTTCCAACATCAGCCCCTTCTTACTTGAAATACGTTTGTCTGGATCTTCACCATCTTCATCACCACTATCTTCATGAACAGCATCTTCAGGAATAGCTTGCATCTGCACACCAGGAGCATGAGGCAACATGCGCAAATTCTCAAATAAACGCTGTCTACAAGGCAAATAATCCAAGGGCAATTGCTTAATACTATGTCACTCTCTTCCCCATGCATGTTTGTAGTAGCCTAACTTTAACTTCCTTTCATGCAAAACTGTGCAGTCGCCTAGTCCTCTTCCTGATTACACAAGAACAAGACTAGTTCTTCTGCTAACAGGTCACAGTACCCAAATAAAATACATAGGAGAAAGTATGAGTCAGGTGCACCATCTATTTTAAACTGTAAAAAAAAATCAGTTTGAAAAAGAAAAGTGAAATTTATTCCACTATAAAATACTTGTAATAGTGATAAAGAATGAACTGATCAATTGACCCTGTTTCTTTTTTAATGAGTAGCTCCTACTGCTGTTCTCAGGACCAAATTAGCTCTCCCTTTACCTAATGCATGAAAGAAAATATTAGGACTTGTCTAAACAAACAGTTGCAAAGATTCAGACCTTTGCAAAGTTATAGATATTATCCAAAGTAAAAGCAGGATATTGTTACTTACTTAATCTTCTCCATATATTCTGGGGTATTCTGGTTTGTCATATTTGATGGGCTAATATGCAGTTTGAAATCTGGTCCAAAATATTCGAAGTAGTCATTGTATGGCAATTCTGGTGAAACAAAATGGAGATGTAATAGCTTCTTAGACAGCTTTATTGCTGGGTTCCATTACAGAGCTTCATATCATCACTATTGTCATATCTGACATCACTGAAAACATTTTTTATTTTCCTCCATGTTACTTAATGTAGATGAAGAACAAATTCATATTTATGGACCTAATTAACAAAGTTCATCCTGTGACAGCACTCAAACAATGTTAAAAAGAAAAGAAAAGCTGAAAGGTGTTATAACCATGAAAGTGGGATATTTCCTAACTTGTTCTCTTAAGAACAGATATTCTGGACCTTACTTTAAGACTGTGCCACATTTTCTTTCTTCATAATCATTTTGCTTTAATATTTAGTTTAATTTATATTTATTTGAAAATATTTATGTGCCTCCTTTAAGGGTAGAACCCTCTCAAAATAACTTCTCTTTGGGTTGCATCCAATCCTAGTGTAAATCCACTGATATAAATGGATCTACTCTTAAATCAGATTATGATGGATTCAACCCTTCAACTATATTAAATCAGCTATAAACCCACATTTAATTAAATCTATGCTTCCTGTTTAATATCCAATACTTAAAGGTTATATATTTCAAACTGACAATAATCAGATGCTGGGTTGGTTTACATAATCACTGTAGCCCACCATGGTTTATTAAACATGGGTTATCACATGTGAATGCAGCCATTTTAAATATTTAAGCCCCAATGAAGGTTGGTATGGTTTGTTGTCTCTTTCAAACCAGGCAGCAGGAATTTTTTGAGGGTTAAACAATAATTAAATAACACTAATAGCTGTTTAATCCTCAAACTATCTCCATCTCCCTGGATTCAGATGACACAACAAGCCATGGGTGCAGCTTGAAGAGTCAACATGAGGCCTGCAAGTGCTACAGCTTGTCAATACTTAAGTGAGCTGCAGTGGGTTGCAGTAATTATGCTATAAATAGTCGTTGTTCATAGTTTCAGGTACCAACATTCAGCCCTGAACAATGTAGGGAAGGTTCCAGGGGTTAAATGATTCATTTGCATATCTTACAAATGCGAACACATCGTAGAAGAGATTCAGATAACTAAAAGAAAAAAGTATAGGTTGTTTACGTCATTGCTTGGAACATGAATCAACTTAGTCATCTTTGGTATAAGACCAGTTATTTCCCAGAATACTTACCATTAGGAATTTCACAATCTAGGGCAACAGCAGTTTCATAGGTCCAACATCGCGCAACATTACGTATGGTATATCCACCTCCTCCAAGCATAAGAAGAGGTAAATTGAAAGTCTTCACAACTTCTACACATTTCGCATGGCCTGCCATAAATTGTGAATACATAAACAAATGTATAAGAGACATGCAGTTCTATAAATTCATAAAAGTTGCCTGAAAACTACACAAAGAAGACTTTTAGATATGAATCATATCTCTAAAATAACAGTAAACAGTTTTCAAGCCATGCAGAAACTAAACAATGCCAACTAGATGGGATGAGGAACAGAACATCTCCAAGTTTGACTTCATTTTCTGTTCTCTATTTATGAGTTTTCTTGCACATGTACAAATCAAACAGAAGAACACACAATTTAACCACACTGGATATAGTAATACTGTAATTTACAAATGAAATGACTGTGCCTCATAAATCAATGATGCAGTTGTAAAAAAAAAATACTCGAAATCTCCTGTGTCCCATATTAAGCCATGATTTAGAGCTGATTAATATATAGTTGTACATCACTGGATTTTTTTCCCATATGAGATCTGGCAACCAAGATCTAAAGATCTTTAAGATAACACAAAATCAGACCATTACATATAAAAGTTTCTACAGAGATTTTTCTTTTTGGAATGTTCTTTCAGTTGCATGATACACAAAACAAGGTGTATCTGTTCTTCACCACCACTGTCCATGCAAGTGTCAGAATATATGACCCATCTTCACTAAAGAACATTTGATGCTACAGCAGGTGGTATAAAAGTTCTATCTGTGATGGCTCATATATATAAGCACTCCCTTGATCTTGTATTGCTTGCTTGAGCAGGGAAGATAGCACTTTGAAACTTAGATGAAAGGGGAAAAACAAGGGATTCAAAGCAATAAAGAAAAGATTCTTCTGAATGGGAGACAAAAAGAATAAGGAACAATTAATGTATTGAGTTAGTTAAAGAAATCCATAGCCATGGTAAGCCATCACATGATAATTAGAAACTATGCAATGAAATGGAGGAATACATCTGGGGTTCTTCACCACCCTGTTCTAATGGATACTGTTAGGATTCCTGAAAGACAACTAAAGGTCACATGCTTTTTTTTTTTTCAATCAAATAACTATTTAATAATGATGTGAACACATGCATAGTTGTGAATCTTCAGAAAAGTTTTGCTCTCACCTTTGACAGTAAGGTTAAAACATCCCAACCTGTCACCAGACAATGAATCTGCCCCACACTGCAGTACCACAGCACTAGGCTGATACATTTCCATGACTTTGGATATAATCTGGGAAGAAGGAGAACGGATATTAAATCTTCTACTGAACCTCACCATATCAGCTTTCAAAATGGCTTTCAAAATCTACTTACTGGTTTAAATATCTGTCCATATGATTCATCATCTATTCCGTCTCTCATTGGAAAGTTAACAGCATAATATTTGCCTTTTCCGGCACCTATGTCCTATAAAGAAATGATGAATACAAGAGAAACACCTTGATATCAAAAGGATAAAGAAAAACAGCCTGACAGTTAATGCTTATCTCTGGACCAAATGTGTTGTGAAATACTACAGATGGTACCCCAGGCATAAAAAATTATTCACAGGAATTAATATCAATATATTATACATAGAGTGTCAGATAAATTGGCTATTCCAGCTTAAAATCTTCAGATGAAGCATGTGATCAGTGCAACAGAAGAAATCAACACATTGAAGTAGCATGTCCAGAGAACCAGGAGGATAGGCATGTGACGATACAGAAGAATTAGACCCAAAAGCATAATTTGAATTTTATGTCTTCATTCAATCTCAGGAGAATGTGGTTTGGAATCATTGTAGGGGATAAATAGCCTCTCTCACCAGGAGTGGGGATTGTATAAAAGAGACACATACTGGGAGATGAATTTTAAAAGACAACCAATTACCTGGGTATGGGGAGTAATGCCATGGGTCTGCTCTGTCAGATCCATAAAGTCACATGCTATATCTACAAGAAATGTGCCACAATTCACTGAGTGAAACACAAAGATTATTCTTCTTTGTCCACCTTTCAACATTCAAGATGTACAATTGAAATAGATGATCTACAATTCAGCTGTATAATAGCTAAAGAAATTCCTTAAAAAGTCTTATGTCAGCACAAATATGAACTTCATGTTCTCTTATTTCCAAAACAGAAACGGTTGGTTTGTTGCACCTAAACAAGCAGCCTGTCCACAAGCACTGTGTCACGTGAGTGTGCTAGGGGGACAAGGGAAGGGGACACAAAAGTGCCCTGCAGCAGTCTTCTCTCTTCATGTAAGCACGATTTTTGCAGAGCAGTAAATTATACAATGCTAAGTCTCTTATGGAGGAACTCAAAAGTGAAATTATTTTTTTATGAACCTCTTTTCACTGCCCTGGAAGAAGCAAAATTGCACAATGTATTTGAATATGTAACACTATTCTAGAAATCAAAACATCCAAAAGCATGGACTCCTTTGATTCATTAGCTGATTTGGGAGCTACATCAGGTTCTCCAAGCCTTTCCAAATGACTTGTTGAAGATTTCCTGCCTCTTTCCTGCTATTTTATGTGTGACCAATGATATGACTTGTTATAAAACTTTAAGTTCCATGTTAATGTGCTCTGGAAGAAACAAAATGGCATCAATGTATAGTACTATAGGAAAACTTTTAAAAACGCTTGATTAGGCAGTCTAGTTTTTGTTTTGTTTCTTGGAGACTTCCAAAGTGGTGTTGTCCAGAGAATCTTATGCAATGTTGATCTAGGTACAACCTAATTAAATATACAGTCCCAACCAAGTAGATAACATACACAAAAACCGGATCAGTATAGGAAGCCTAAGCCAGCTATGCTCAAAATTAACAAAACAGAAATTAAAATTAAAGCATCTGAACTTGTGAAAATGTATTGATGTTAGCTTTTACTAAGGCATTAATGTTAAATGTAGCGGACTTTGCTCTCTGGACAAATGACTGGGGATTTCAGGAGTCTAGATTTAATAAGAAGTGAATACTTAAATGTTCTTCACGGGTGAAAGAATAACTTAAGGTCAATGCTTCTGCTTTTTAAAAGAAATTTATTTCACTCATGTTTAGCATGAGGGAACAGTACCATCTTGTGGCCAGTCAGGATAAAACAGACTATGATTCTAAGCCAATATATATATAATTTCTATTAAAAAGAAAAGCCTTCCACAAACAGATTGGAATACAACTCCTATTATTTCAGGTCAGTATAGCCAAACATTGATTAAGTATTGGCTTAGCCAATGGACATGCTGACTGGGAATTATGAGACTTGTAATCTAATGTGTGGGGAGCAATTGACTTTAGTAAGGCTAGAAAAAATGGCTTCCACAGCCAACAAGTACAGAAATGTTTATTACTCCCAAGAGCTAGGCTAAGATAGGCATTTAGACCATTACTGGCCTAAAAGATTTAACAACATATCTAGTTAATGTCAGAAAATACTGTCTAACTGTCATAAAGGGTATACCAGGCATACCTAGACTTAGCAAAATAGTGCACCTCTAATATTTCTCAAGCCATTGGTGAATTGGCAAGGTTGTTCTTCTTCCCTAGAAAACAAGTATATCTAGGGATCCTGTGATCTCAGACTCTGCATGTCTCAGACAACAAAAATAATCTTTGGTCGAGGGTTATACTGAATGGTATTCTACCACAAGAACCTAGAAATACAGGCATTCTTATTTGTATGCTTACATTGCAACCCTATCACATCTTCTCTGAAGTCATTCCTGTAAAGTTCAATGGGACTTTTCCTAGGTAAATGTACATAGGACCACAGCCTTAATACAAAGTCTGAGGAATTGTTTCTACTGCTTTTTCTGTTAAGGTTACCATTTTTAAAAACGCTTGCAGGACTGACAGAAGCACTGATATTCTCAGTAATGGTATCAATTACAGATGTGACTGGGATGTCAAATCAAGGTACCAGTCCTTAATCTTAACGTGGTGGTATGTGTCAGATGAACATAGTGAGCACAGTGTGGCAGACAACATAAATATACTGCTAAACAGCAACATGGTCTGTGGCTGGGCTGCTTTTGCCAAATACAGGTCCCCATCCTCCCCCCACCCACACTCCCTGCACACACTCAACATGTTGTATTTCCTTGTCCAAGAATGCAAATTTCTGTTCTCCCTTCTTGCAAACCACTACTGCATGGGTAGCTCTATACCCAATAGAAGGTACCAGACAGTGCTTATCTGTACTATGCTAGTGACGTAATAGTCAAATGGGCTCAGGAAAGAGGTTTTTAGCAAGTAGCTGTACACACGTTTGGAAAAAAAAACAATTGTGTGCTCATACATATAAATACACCATCTATGGAACCAGACTAGGACATGGATACAGTGATGTCATCATTAAATTAATGTTTGGCTATTTCACTCTGATCAACTGTAACTGCCCTTTTGGGGAAGTTAGGACAGAAAATAATAACTAATTTAATTTGAGAGTTAGCCTTAAGGATTTATGTTTGCAAGATACCAGCTTAATCAAATGAAAGGCTCCTATCTGAACTCACCCTCAAATCTCCTGTGCCAGGAAAATATTCACCATACTTATGGAATGATACTGTCATAACACGATCTGTTGTATAAAATGCTTCTTCAACACCATCACCGTGATGGATATCAATGTCAATGTACAACACTCTTTGGTGGTATCTGGAGAAGAAATAAACCATCTTAGCAAAGTAGTAACCATAAGAAAGTTTTTTTTCTTTAAAAAGCACAAAGGACATCTGGTGTCACACTTAGCCCTGAGGTACCTTTTTTACTCAGACTAAACCAAGAATATAAAATCATTCACGTCAATCAGATGTAGATCTCTCTTCCAATCTCCACATAATTAAAGACAGCCTAATTCTTAAAACTGTATTATATCATGCCACAGTACCAAGAACTAGGAAGGTCACTGAGCATAACCGTACTGGCAGCATGTTAATGTAATAACATACAATTATCTGAAAAGGATCCTTTTTACCAGCTTACACCCCTAATCAAATAACAGGGCTAGAAAAAGATTATTGTTGGCCTAGTATTTTAAGTATGATTCCTACTGCTAGGCCATGCCAAGGACAAACTGTACTCCTATCAAAAATATAGCTGCCAGAATCATACAAGGCCTTTACCTGATTTGTAGCAACTGCTGCCCTCCTTAGCTCAGGGAGCAGGAAAGAGATTTTTTTTGGGAGGGGGGAGGCAGAATATCTCTTTCATGAGCTTTATTTAACTTAAAGTTGTCAAGATCTAAATGCATATATGTGTAAGATCTGTCTGCTCCTTAGAGCAGGGAAAAGTGAATACATGGCTCTGCAGATGCTGCAGGACAGAAATTCTCATGTTCTTCAATTCAGGCTGTGCTGGCTAGGGCTAATGGGAGCTGTACTTCAACAGCATCTAGAGGTCCACACATTACCCATCTCTGCTTTAGAGTTTTCCTTTTACATTTTCCCCCTTTCTGAATTAAAACAAACAAAGAAACAAACACACACATAAAATGTTGCTGCTGGGGTGAATTTATAACCCCAGGGGCATATGCCTGAGGCTAAGAATGAAAAATTCAAAAAACCTTTGTTCTGCGTGGAATTTTCCCTCAAGGAGTTGTGATCAGCATAAGGTTGACTTTCAGCTATCAAAAAGAACAGGTAATTTATGTTTTAGTCTTTCCCAAGACTATGCAAACTGAGTAACCATAGCAGCCCCACTGACTTTTCTCTGCATAACAGTTTGCAGGAGTTTTTAGCTTAGAATCAAAAATGAGACCAGGACAATCTGAACAGAACCTTGCTTTGTTCTGTTGTTTTCAGGGCCTTTGTTTGGAGTCATAAAGTCACTCCACTTAGCTGTTCCTATAGAGCATCCAGGGTGACTCTTTAGAATTTCTTTTTAAAAAGAAAAAAGTGGGAAGCTGAAATTTGGGGACATTTTAGACTAGGCACCTTGTGACAGTATTGTAAAAGAACAGGTTGGTAGGACTACTCATGTGTAAATTACAGTATTGACTGTATGCTTGTAGTACTGAAGACAACCCTCCCAGTGCAGCTAGAAGGCTACAAGGAGGGGAAACCTTCCTGAATTCTGTAAGCAACACACTGGAATGCTACAAATAAGATACAGCAATGCCTCTCTTACTATTCCTATGATAAGCAGAGATAACTTTAGTCAGATTCATTGACTCTGACAGATAGTAACCTTTTGCCACTACCAGTCTGAATGAATTGTTTGTTACCTTAGGATACATATGAGATCATACCATATACCAAAGGCAGAAAGTAAAAGCTTTTCCTGCCTGAGCACTTCATGTATTTTCTTACCAAACTGTAACTGGCTGGAATCTGCTGTTTCATCCAATCCCATTTCCTCCCAACCCTGCTCCAAATTTGATAGTACTGGAGTCAGAGAGTGCCCAGGAAAATTGAGTAAGAAACCAAAATACTAAAAGACCCCATGAACAACACAGACGAGCACGTCACCATTCAGCAGAATGGGATGTGACAGAGAAGCTCAATGTATACTGTATTTTTTGCTCTATAAGACACACTTTTCCCCCCCTCAAAAGTAAGGGGAAATGTCTGTGCGTCTTAGAGCGAATATGTGTGTGCAGTAAGTCTGTCAGATGTGCAGCCCATGGGGAAGTGATGGGGAATGTGCCTGTGATTATGTGCCCATTTGATTCAGAATATTTTTTTTCTTGTTTTCCTCCTCTAAAAACTAGGTGCGTCTTATGGTCAGGCGCGTCTTATAGAGCGAAAACGACGGTATATTGTCCTTGAATCTTGTTTCTAAATCTTTATTCTGAAGACTGATTAAACAAGGACTTTGGATGATCCTGGATATGGAAACTACAATTTGTATTTGCTGAGTTAATTGAATTCATTCATGCAGAAGAGGGATTCCCACTCAAGGGAGGACACAGCAACATAGGAGGTCTCCAGTACATGCAGGTGCTTCTTAGATTGCCTAGACTTCCTTCTAGAGTAGTGTAGACAAGATGCAAGTTTCCTGAACACTCACATGCCAACCGCTAATGTGGCCCTGCCACATGGCTGAAATTCAGCAGCCAACTATGATAGAAGTTTAAAAAGGGAGAAATTCAAAAGAATTCTATTTTGCCACTGTGCTGCCAAATTTAGCAGAGTAGCAGAAGTGCAGTTTGTGGAGGTGGGGGAATGACCCACAGAATTCCTAAAGTTTCCTAATATGGGTTTGTGCCAACCCACACCACAACCTCTCATGTTTGTCTTGCTGCAAGCAGACCTCCTTGCAGATCCTGAACTTCCCTTGAGTAGTCCCATATTGTCTTCCAGGATTACCCTTATCATTGTCCTTATGTCTGAGACATTCAGAAGTTTAACCTGGTATGTGTTCAATCCAGGATGGGCACTCGTACAAGGACTGATCCCCTAAAGTGCTAATTTAAAGGGAATATCAGTATTTTGTCTACACAGTAGTTAGATGTTCATCAAGCACTGATTGTTATTTAACTTGTATGCTGAAGTTTACTAGGTTATCCTTATTGTGTAAAAGAAAGAGACTTTGAAGACTAGCGATCAAGAAGTATTTCTTTTATAGTTGCTACTGTGAATGGATTGTATCCATTACCCAATGTGGAAAGAAAACTAAGTATCTTTACCAAATCAAAATCAGTTATCCATTGCAACCGTAACAGAACTCAGTAATACATTGCAAAACTGTAAAGTATAATATTGGAAGTGACTGCTTTTGATTTCTTTCACATACGAAAGACTTCTTTAGAAAAGACAATTAACATCTTTTTTAAAAAATATTAAGTTATTTGGAATAAAGAGTGCTTTATTATTTACATTATTCTGTTCTTTAAAGTTCCAAAACCAAGTATGAAAACTTGAATAAAAAATGATTGCCAGCTACCTCCGATCAACTAACCATCAAAACCCAAAGCCAATCATTTCAACAGGACAAGCATGAACTTACTTCAGTAGTTCAAGAATGGCAAGCACAATATCATTGACATAACAGAAGCCCGAAGCCTCTGACTTCTTAGCGTGATGAAGTCCTCCTGCCCAGTTAACAGCCATATCCGTCTGTTGTCTGTTTAGTTTTACTGCTCCAGCTAAAGAAGCATTGTGCAGAAAAAAGTGGTTAAAATCATGAAACGTAGTCATGAAAAATCAAGAGTGACTGGATTCAAAAAACATAACTAAGTTTAAGTTGTGTTTGAATGGGGTTTTTCACTGAACCAGATAGTTGTGCTGTGTGAATCCAGCCACACGAAGATATGATGGCTTGTTAACCACAAAAAACCTACAGTTCACAACTGTAGTGGGTTCTCATAGTGGGTTGTTCAAGGTTAACAGGCCATGGCACATTAGTATGGCACAATTTACACAACATGACCCACATTTTAAGTACAGCTCATATGATGGTAGACTATAATGTGATGTGAAGGCAAGCAATATCTTGAGAAAAGACTAAAAAAAGCTACGGCAGTGAGCAGTATAGAAATGAAAATAATGATAATCTATTTATCACCTTTCAGCTCTATCTACATTTTAACTGTATGGCTTAGTCTATGTTTGGGTACACCATACCATGAAGTATAAACAACTATGAATTTATTAATGCAAATGCATTTCTGTGCTTTTTTTCTTACTTTCTTATTTTAGTTTCAATCTCTCTTTAATTATTCCTTTCCTTTCCATTGATTGTCAACTTGTCTATAAAAGTGTTATTGCTCTATAAAAAAGCAGTAACTCCACAAGCAATTTTAAAGTATATTCACTTACCTACAGAGCCTCCTGTTGACAGCTGACAGAACTCAAACAGTCCATCAAACACAGGACAATCTTCTCCAACATTAACTATACAAAACAAATTCCATTAACCCTCAAGTTTACTGTTCCCAAATATATAATATTTATTTTTAAAGGGCTGGTACACTGGTCAGTACATCAGTCAAATAATGGGCCAACACGGTCAATCAGTCAAGCATTCTCACTGTCAACTAATGTAAATGGTGGCCTTTTGACAATAGCATCCATCCTGTCCAGGAAACTCCCTTGTGAATTTCTGGAGGCAGAAAAAGTGGAATCTTTCAAACACATTCTGAAAATACATTTGTTCACCTAGGCTTTCCTTGACTTGCAGTTGAATTAATATATTAATGTTATCAATATCACCACCACTTTGTTTTAAATTGTATCTTAAATGTGATTTTAATATGCCAGGGTGTATATGGTAATATACCAAATGCGGTAACATCACTAATTATACTGTATCTTTAAAAAAAAATTCTGAGGGGAAAAAAAGCAGATGAAGCATGGAGTGTTCCAGCTATCAAACTGCTGCCTGCCAACAGGGCAGCATTATGTTTGAACAAGTCTTGCATGTTATAATTAGTACAACAGGCAACTAACAACTGAGAATGCTAATAACCCACAAGAAGTCAGTCAGAAAGGAAACTGCATATTAAAACAAAAATATACAATCCATAATACTCTACCATAGCAATTCAAGGCAATACCAAGGATGAAATTGGGATGTGGGAAATATTTAGGTTTTTCTTGTATACAATGTTAGATAAATCTCCATAGTTTAGAAAAAAAAAGGTTCTCAAAGGATTTAACTGCATTTAGTTCATTATGAAACTTACATCTTTGCATCTGCTTGCTATATTCAGACATATTGTCAGGTCTAATTGAGCGAAGAAATTTGATGTACTCATCACTGTGGTATTTGGTCATTTCTTCTGCTGTAGCTTTGTGAGGTCGCTAGAAATAAAAGGACTGAAATGGGTCTAATACAAAATAAAAAGCAGCAGTATTTCTAACTGTTCACTTGAGATAAATTTGACAATCAAACACGTTAAATTGACAATAGTGGAAAAGATTTCGTGGAAAAGATTTCAGGTTATTCCACTTTCATTCTGCACCCATGGGTTCAAAACAGTTGAGAGATTTTACTGTCAAAGGTTCAAACAAGGTATGAGGCATGTAAGGACTATATCCAACATCATGTTTTCTATCTGTCATATGTATTATGTGTATTCCAAATCCTTTTACTTTTGGTTCTCTGATGCAACATTTTCACATGTATTTGTCTACAGTCCTTTGTAGTCTCCACAACAGAGCATCAAGAGAACTGTGCTTAGTGCTCTCCACAATAAAGCAAAATGTTGAAATGCAAAACCCTAGGAAAAGTTCTGAAAATTAATATAGAAAATTTAATAGTATTTTGACTTGTCACCAACTCTTCACTGACAAAATTGTAAAGGTATACTCACATATATTTCCATTTTTCTGTACAAGCCATAATTCAGCAACAAGTTGTGTGTCATGCGAATCCTGTGAGGCTTCATTGGATGGCCCTGTCCATAATAATAGTTCCCAATATCACCTAGAAGTGAAGAAATGAGTGATGCTTCAGTGTCTAATTGTTACTTTTGCTAGCTTCACTCAGTAAATTTTGGACCCTAAGGGGTCCACAATCACAAAAGGAAAAACTACCTTCACATTTTGTTAAGTATTCCTTTTCTTATCCGTTCAAGCACCTGGATGTCCAAGTAAGCCTTTAAAGGTCCTAGCAGAAAGGACCATCTTAACCTGGTGCCAAAAGGATGTCAAACTTAGAATTGCCCTGTGCTTGGCTCCATTCATCTTGCCTCAAACCTAACCAGTTCCTGAAGTGTCCCACAACATGCTGCTGCCACCACCACTCTTCACCATGAGGATGCTGTTTTCAAGGCTATGGGCACTGTTGGCTTTGGGCCATACATTTTGCAGCAGGGCCAAAAAGTTCAACTGTCGTCTCATCAGACCAGATAACCTTTCACTATATATTTACTGTGTCTTCCACGCGTCTATTTGAAAATTCCAAATTTACTTGATATGGGTTTGTTTTAGCAATAGCCTTTTTTCCACTCTTTCATGTAAAGTCCAATTTTGTCAATGTCCAGATGACAGTTTTCCCATGGAGAGTTTCTCTTATCTCTGCTGTGGATTGCTCAAGTTCCTTCAGAGTTACCACTGGACTCTTGGTTGCATTTTAACTACTGCCATTCTCACCTGATCACTGAGTTTTGATGAAAACTTCCTGTAAGCTGAATTGCGCATAAGCCATATTCCTTTCATTTTATATTAATGGATTTAACTGTGCTCCAAGGAATGTTCATTGTTTGGGATATTTTTGATAATGCATCCCTGTTTGATGTTTCCATCCAACCTTATACTGGAGTTGTTTTGACAGATCATTTGTCTTCAGGAGGCTGTTTGTTTCATTTTTTATTTTATTTTAAAAATATAAACACACAGTCTACATTGAAAATACAAACATAAAAATTAACATACAATAAAATAATTATTACACTACTGTGCTCCCCAGCACCAGGACCAAGGATACATGTCACAAATGAAAGAGAAAAAAAACCTTCAGATACTTCAGGACATTCCCCTTCCAAAACTGTAATAATTCTTTTGAGAGCTCAAATCCTTTTCCTTTCTTTAAAACTTACACAACGAATTTACCCCAAATCTCATGCAACTTACTTTCCTTTATGTGCCCATTTCTCATTTTAATATCACATGTTAATTTGTCATTAATAGCTATGTTCCACATTTCTCTATACAAATCTGACAATTGGTAATCATATTTATTTTCTAATTCTTAGCTATAATTAGTCTCACTGCAATTATTAAATTTATTATTAATTATTTATTATTCCAACTGCATTGTTTTTATCAAACATAGAAAATAATGCAATCTCAGCACATATATCTATATTTAGACTTAATATTTTACTGCCTTCTTTAAAAACCTCTTTCCAAAATTTCATTAAATATTCATAGTTCCACCACATATGAAAATATGTACCCACTTCACAACCACAGCTCCAGCATAAATTGGAGTATTCATTAGCTATTCTATACAATTCAACTTTACTGGACTTCTATACCACTTCCATACAATTTATAGAAAATTTCCTTTATTCTTACTAAAATACACGTTGGCATCATCTTTATCCAAATATTTTCCCAATTTTCCTCACTAATATATTTTTTTCTCAAATCCATTTCCCATGTTGCTTTAAGTGAATCATATTGCCGCTGTTCATCTAACAATATAATTTTTCTTACTATCCCTTTCATCCACATATTTTGTTTTTCTTTTTCTATAATCATATCTTCAAATTTTGTCTAATCCCTGTATTTACTTATGCACTCTTCTAGTCCAGCAGTCCAACTGAATCACATTATAGCAAGTTATAGTCTCCTTTCCCAGTACTGACTTTATCTCCCCATTTGTATTTATTTTTTCTAACCAATCTTTTGATCTAACTATTTTTACTCCTTAATATTTTCCCTGAATTTTCCCTTAAGTTTAATAGAAAATGTTTTAATGCAGTGGTGATATCAGTGGCATAAATTTTCCCTTACGCTTAGAGGCTGTTTGTTTCATATGCTCTTCCAAAAACAAGTGTGTTTAAGTCTAAGTTCATGAGGCACTGGAATTGCACATTGAACATTCAATGACTCACAGTACTCTGCAGGTTGCACCAGAAGCATATCAGTAACCAATGCTTCAAGGTCAGTCTTCTAATGACGTTCACTAGCTTTTAATACTGTATTTGGGTTTTTAAATGCTGCCTGAAATGCTTTGGGATCCTTTATGGATGAAGCCTGGTTTATAAACTTTTAAAAATAAATAAATAAATGTGTCAATTCATAAAACTGTTCCATCCATTTCCACATTAAAGTGAACATTCTGAAAAATCATGAAAATTCATATTTAAGTATTCCTGAATAAAATATTTTGTATAATACTCATTCCTAAATATATTCTAAAATTTGTATTTGGGATATATATATATAGTTTTTATATGCCATCCAATACTAAAGACTCTAGATGACTTTATGAGCAGAGAACGGCAAAAACTGTATTCCAGCCCTTAGGTTAGTCTGAAAGTTGCAGATCAGGTCAATTCACTTTGAAATGAAGACCAAACAAAATCCTTATGAGGCAGTATCAACATATTATAACCACTACCAAAGTATTTTTTCAACAACTGAAGCTTTGCTCTATGTAGAAATTATACTGATTGGATTGAAATCTATATTCGTATGTTAATATCAAATAACTATCAAGCTATCAGTCCAATGTGTGCGTCTTTGCAATAGATCCTGATAGAATACAATTTCCACTATATTTTTAAAACTATGATTGTCAGTATGGACATTTTAGTACCAATAATATTCACACATTTTGGAATTGTCTTATACATGTATATTCTTCAGTTGCTAATTTGAATTACTTGGAATTTTGGAAACAGCAAGTTATTTTCTTGTGGGAGAGAAAACCTGTTAGGCCAGACATCCACAAATCTAGTTACAAGCTCACCAGAATGAGTGCCCCCATTCTTTTGGCAGCTCTGTACAGCAGCTCTGTTAAGGTGGACCCACGCCCAAGAGATCTTATTTCCTTTGAAAGAGGTCAGCAACAGCAGGAACCCCTTCTGAGCTGCAGATGAGATTTCTACTGGTAGTTAACACAGACAGCCAAGGAAGAAAACTCATGCTTTGTTGTTAAATTGTGAATTCTGGATTGTTTCTGGTTAACTGGTAGTTAAACTACAGTCCATAATATGGATGTAACAACACCAGCTGCTAATCTGGGTTCTCATTACAAGCAAATTGCAAAACTTTCTCCATTAAGCCACACAAAAGGAAAACAAACAAACAAACAACACCTAGCATCTTTCCCAGGGCTTCAGTGCATGCCAGAGGATGGTAAGGGAAAGACAGTGAAAGTGTGTGCAAATAATGGCAGCTAGGAAATCAAAGCAAAATCTGTGGACCTGCTCAGCATTCTACTAAATAAGACAACAAGCCTCAAGACTCAAGCTAGGTCCTGCTGAATGCCTATAAAGCTAAGGCAAAATACAATACAGGCAGGTGAAGAAAGCTGACTCCCACCCCAACATTCCCATGCTTTTTAGTTTTTAACCTTCCAGTGTGAAAGAAATATCTAAACCAGCCTTCCCTAACCTGCTGGCCTTCTGGACTGCAGCTTCCAGAATTCCCATCTAGCAGGGTCATTGACTGGGAATGCTGCATGTTGCAGTCCAAGCCTGTCTGGAAGTCACAAGGCTGGGGAAGGCTGACCTAAACAAAACAGTATGAGGCAATCAGGGAGGAGGGTTCAGTTCCACCATCACTACCACCTGACTTAAGATACTTCCTTGCTTTATAAGGGTTTAGGGCCAAGGTCCATCACCATTTTTTCTTGCTTAGAAGAAATGGCTCTGCAAACAAGAGATCACTATCTGGCCACTGTCATTTTGCATGGATTCTCAAAGCACTGCATTCTGGGCACATATGCATTCATATGTGTTTCAAGGACTCTTAAAAGCCCATAGAGCCAAGGAGCAACTCTGGTTTACTCAATTAGGGAACCAAAAAAAGTAGATTCTGGCCACCTGCAGATAATGGCTGCCTACACTTCCAAGAGGAAACATGGACTTTCTTTGGACCAAGAGGCAAGAGCAACCTCTCCTATATGCATCTTTCTACATCATGACAACAAGAAAGCAGTTCAACACCTTCTTAACTGATCCATTTGAGGGAGACCATCAACATAGAAATCCTAATTTTCTTGTACAGTGATGCTTAGGTACACAGAGGTGGATAAAAATCAATGATTTTTTAAAAATTTAAATTCATTTTTTCTTTAAATCATGCTTTTAATAAAATGCTTTTTGACAAAGAATTTATCTAAAGATCGTTTTCTATTACAGTCCAAAGATTATTCATCATGAAATAGGGATTAGTTTTTAATTATGTAGTAACTTTATATTCATGTAAAGTTTGAATTCTTTACATTGAATTGAAATGATTTCCATTAATCCATTCACAATGTCATGCTCTTCCAGAGGTTTCTGTAAGATTGTTGGGCAATTTTTCTATCTAGAAAATATTTTGGCAGATGCTTGGTTTTACAGTTCTCGGAACTGTGAATTTGTGCCTGGAGAGATCACATCCTCTTATTCACAGCAAAAATGTTATAAAATAAACATACAGAGTTGAGCAAAAGACCTAAATCCCATTGTTCCTTTGAAAATTCACGTACACAGAATCAATCCCTCACCTCTTAAGTGCTGAGTTTCTATGAACAGAAGATGATGCTTGGGACTGGAATAGATCTGCACAAGAAGTTAAGTGTGAGAAGGGAGAGGCAAGCAGTAAAAATGAATGTGAACCCCTTTGAGTACAATATTCCACAAGTATTTGGATCTTTTTGTGTATAGCCTGACGTTTATCATATTCTTTCCCTGGAGGATAATACCCATCATGACAGGCTGTAAAAGTTTGGTATTTTAATTAAGTTCCTTTACATATGGGAAA